AGGGTTACAGAAAGCCATTAGCAATTACATATCAAACTAGGTTCTTTCCTGTTATCGGGGGAGGGGAGGCAAATTTTTTTGTATAAGTCTAGAAATGCCTGTAGCTTAATAGGAAGGAGGCTTAATAGTTTGTAGCCATATTTATAGAAAAGGTAGCTAAAAACGATTTACAAATGTTTGACAACGTTGAAATTTTGGTTAAGAAATCGTTCATTTTAGCCCGAAAATCCAGGAAATTTTTGATATTTTTTAATAAGTATTTGGAAAGCTTTACGCTTAAGAATCGTAAACAGCCGTTTAGAAACAGCTCCACGATTTATATATGAAGAGTGAAATCCTTAGCAAAAAAATTGCCCCTCCCGATAATGGGGAAGAACGCTTCTTTCTGTTTCCTTGGGGAAGAAGGAGATCTGGGATTTATGTAATTCTATGCACTTTTTTCCCATTCGATTGAATTTTTAGAAAATCGTCCAATTCCTTTTAATTTTCACCCACCGTAAGAAACTGCTGTGGCCGCCCATCCACAAAAAATAGCGGTCGATTTTTCATTCAAACAAACGAGATCTTAGCTTCAAAGTTTTTTATAATTATTGCCAGCCGCCCGGTTTATCCCGGCAAAAGCATCAGCTGGCCGTGCCCAGGCACTCTTGGCGCATTGCCAACCGCCCGCAACGCGGCACACGGCAACGCGTCGCGCCCATGGTGACGTATCGGCCCGTCATCAATGCCTCTGAACAGCACAGCGCCCGAGCGGCTCGCCCCGGTTTCGCCAAGAGCCAGCCCCCGCGCCACCGTTGACGCGTGATTCCGAATCGATAGCCAGGGGTTTTAGTTATATTTTTAAAGCATAACATTCCCTTTTGTCTATCCACACTCCAGCCTCGACCCAAACCGCGGGGTTCGCTACGGGACCATTTCGCGGTTCCCGATGGAATTGCCCGTCGTCAGCAGCCCCTGCGGCGCTTCCGGCTATCGATTTGCGAACTGGTCAACGCGCGCGCTTTACGTTTATTTTGAAAACAATAACAGTAGCGCGTCTCTGCGGGTTTTGGGCATTTCCCGGCCTTCGTAAAACCCCGGGCAAGCTGGGGGAACCGGGGACTACGTGGCGCGGGATTTCGATGTTTTCCGGTTGTTTTTGTTGGGTTTCTACAGCTAAAACATGGGTTTACGTCTAGCTGCTAGTCATGTAGTGATACTTACTAAATATAGCTAGCTTCTAAATACTAACTAAGGGAGGTGCGCAGAAATTTGCCACAAAAGCGGCGAAGAAACCTCAGAATCAAGCAAATCGCTGCGATAAAGTCGGGGGCTTTAGGGTTTTGGCTGCTGTAGCAAGCGCTCGGTGAACTTATTGCTCTTTATAAAGTATACATATCAGATTGCGTCAACTAGTTTATAAAGAATAGTTTTGAAAAAGTTATTTATGCAAATTTTATTAGCCTTTTTCGCATCAGCTTTATTTTCTATTGCGCGACAATACCTTTTATCCGGGCGTAATTTGGTGAGCCAGGTAGCTCGACAAGTTTTTTCTTGTACCAGCGCTGACCCCCGCTCCAGAGGGTTCAGCGCTGGCATCTAGGGGTAATAAATCAACATCCCATACACCGAAATCCCGAAATCCCGAAACGCCCCGGCTCCCGGACCCGTCCGAACCGGTCCTGGGGTCCCGCAGCGATCGAGTCGGACGGGCGGATCAAGCGGGCGGACGGGCGCACGGACATTAGAAATTTATATATACTCTGAATTTGTTGCATCAAAAATTTATCACCTGTTTTGTCATCCTTTGCGGTTTGTAGTCGCCTGCCGCGTTCCGCCGGTTTGATATTTTCTGAGTCATAGTTTCACGGCTTTTGCCCTTCCACGTGTTCCTCTTGTTTCACACCTTTTGCTACTGCGGCGCTTTCTAACCCCTCATTTCCAGGAACCGATCGCTTAGTTCGTCCAACGCCAGAAAATGATCACCGTTAACCCGGAATAGTAAGTAGCTCTTTCTTTTTTATTTACTTTCTTTTTAGCGACTATCTCTCTCCAAGCTGCTCCTCATCGGCGACTCGGGTGTCGGAAAATCCTGTTTGCTGCTTAGGTATAGTTTTTTGTTTTTGGCTTTCACCGATCGCTTTTCAGGTTTGCCGATGATACGTACACCGAGAGCTACATTTCCACAATTGGTGTTGATTTCGTAAGTTTGAACGTCGTTATGCTTTAAATTTTGTTTAGAAAATTCGAACTACTCGAACTTGACGGGAAGACGATTAAGCTCCAGATTGTGAGTTTTTTTTTTGGTGTGCGTTTGGTGTAGTTGACTCGTTTTGCATTCCATTTACAGGGTCATGTTAGTCCATTTTGATCATCCAGATGATCACTTTTTGAACAAAACGATCTTTCCCCCTTGTGATATGGCAGATCATTACTGAAAGGGCACATATCGATTTTTGCCGATTTGGGTTGTTGATAAGATGAGGGAAAGTGGGACTGTACTTTGGATCTGGGAAAACAAGATTGGTTTTGAGTTCTTTGGGGGCTAATCTTTGTTTGTGGCAGCTTCCCGAATTTTGTTGACTGTTTTTATTGTTGTTTTTTAGTGGGACACAGCCGGCCAGGAGCGTTTCCGCACCATCACCTCCAGCTACTACCGTGGCGCCCACGGCATCATTGTGTCTATGATATTACGGATCAGGTATATTTTTTTCTATTTAACGACTATTTGGCTTGCCCAGGTTGATTGTGATTTTGCAACTTTTCAAGAATTCGATCCTTCAATTTTCAGGAATCCTTCAACAACGTCAAGCAGTGGCTGCAAGAAATTGACCGGTACGCGTGCGAGAACGTGAACAAGCTGCTGGTCGGCAACAAGTGCGACTTGACAGCCAAGCGCGCCGTCGAGACCGCAGCTGCTAAGGTTCGATTTTCAGGTGTTTTGGATTGGTGCTCCGGGGTTTTACGAATTCTGGTAGGAGATGGCAAGGCACTTGATTAGTCGCAGGAGGAATCAAAATTGCTAAAAATTTCTATTTGAAATCGAAAAAGCGTGATTTTCGTCCTAGAATAACCGTAATTTCAAAATTTCAAAAATTTTCGTAAATTTAAGAAAGTTTTTTAGTTTAAGGTTGATAGAAACACTACCCCGCGAATACTCTGCGCTGTTGCTAAGCTTTTGGTTTTTTTTCACCCTAGCCGACAAAGGCTTTTGCAAATTGCAATGCCATCCAGTCGCAAACCGGTTCCGATATCGATCAGCCCGGCGGGGCTTAATTCGCGTCGCCCTTTCCTCCCCTGTTCGACCGTTTTGGGGGCGACTGGGCGAGTGTTTGTGTGCCGACAAAATCCGCCAGCCATTCAACTGACCTGTCTGTCGTCAGCAATGTAATTGAAACCGGGTGTTGGATAGGGGAAATGTTGCCTAGGCCAGCACACCAGATCGGATTATTGCATCTGTGTTTTGTCGCTTTTGCCATAACGACGCCGTTTTATATCAATTTTTTTCAGGGAATATGCCGACCAATTGTCCATTCCCTTCCTCGAGACGTCAGCCAAGTCGAGCACGAATGTAGAGCAGGTATGAAATACTTGTCGCTCCTCAATTCGTTTTTCAGGCTTTCCTGACGATGGCTTCCGAGATCAAGACTAGGATGGGGCCGATGCAGAATGCAGGTTTGTCGTTTTATTCTTTTTGGATCTAATTTTTTGAAATATTGCTGGCGGAACTGTTTCTTAATAGGTTTTACAGAAGTGCGAATATACAAAAATTTTATCAAAAAAATATGAAAAGCATAGAATTTTCGATAAAGTTTCGACTTAGGCTGTTTTATAGTTTTTAGATAGTTTTTCTAGTTCGCACATAGTTATATATTATTAAAAGCTATTAAAATACTTCTTAAGTTGTTAGGCATTTCAAACCTTATACAAAAAAGTCCGGCTTAGCTTGGAAACAAGCTCGGTACTTTAGTTTAAAACTCCGGAACGCCCGTCGGCACGATAACGTTTATCTTCTTTTCAGGAGGCCAACCCTCAGTGCGTATCACCGGTTCGCAGCCGGTGCAGGACAAGAAAGCGGGTGGCTGCTGTTGAAGCGTGTGCATGTGTTCTTCTCGGCGACGCGACCAGAGTGGGCCCGGATGAGATGAGGATTTTCACCCATTTTTACATGTCCCCCCTCTTCCTCCTGCCGCTCTTTTCGCTCTCCCAAAATTAGTCCACATCTTCTTTCGGTCCCCTCTCTTTTATGTGTGTGCCCTCCCGAATCCAACCCACAAAACGGCTGTGTTTCCCCTCCCTTTTTACCTGGTCCAGCGTGCGGGGTGTGTGCCCCTCTTTTTTCCAAACTCGCCTTTCCACACATCCTACCACCCCGATTAATCTGTGTTTTAGTGTATCTAATCAAATGCAAAAACAAGCACATCGCGTATCGTGTCCCTGGCATGCGTTTGTTTGTCTGTACGTTCCTCTTCTAAACCCTATTCGCTGTCTTGTTCTTTGCCCGCCCCCGGATATGCTCCCTTTCGAATAAAGATTTTAATGCATTACTGATGGATGGCGTGCTAGACTGACCGCATGTACGCGTTGATTGGCTGGAATACGCTAATTGGCTAATCGCATGCAGCGGATGGGGCGCTACTTCAGTTTGCTGGCCCCACTTATATATGGCCAAAACCTCATTTTTCTGGTTCAGTTTTTTGCGCTGATTACGGAAAACACAATCCCAGCCCACGAAAATGCGATTTAGTAAAACAATTTAATTGGAAAGTCGGGAAAATTCCATTTTACGGCGGTCGCGTAAAAGGAGCCTTTTTGTGGTTTTTTAATTAAATAATGGCCAAAAACGGGTTTATCATGAATAAAGTCAGCCAGTAGCATTGTCAGGCAAGGCGGGCCGTCGCTTCGGATGGGCTGCCGCTCCACTCTTTCGAAATCGGGGCGCCTGGCCGCTTCGCGCGCCTCGGGCGCCCCGATTTCGAAACCCTGTACGAGCTCGCACCCATCCGAAGCGACTAGGCCCCGGGGTGGCACGAAGCCTTATTTTTAGGAAAAAAAGCGGATGCAATCGCTCAGCCTCGTTGGAAAAAGCTTTTCCACTGTTTTATAGGCCTCCCGCATCAAAACACCGGGTTGACCCCCTTTAAAAACTCAAACCAGAAAAATCGAAAATCAAGTGTTTTCTCCCCTCAAAATTCACGATTTCATTTTCGTGGGCTGGGATAGTGTTTTCCGTAATCAGCGCAAAAAACTGAACCAGAAAAATGAGGTTTTGGCCATATATAAGTGGGGCCAGCAAACTGAAGTAGCGCCGCGGATGGGGTCCGATACCCGATTGATGGAGCCTAGTAACAATCACCGGCAAGTACTAAAGGACGTGTCTCCTAAAATCGCCGCAACTATTTATTTTCCACATAACGAAAATCTGCGAAATGTGATCGATGCTCCCCGTTTCCCAATTGCAAGTACGAGCTTCTCGTGCATTCTGTAACCCCCTGGCTTGGTACATCATTTCCCAAGCAAGTCCGAATAAAATGCCATCTGCACGCCCCGTGATCGGAAATGGCAGAATGCCAGATTAGCGCACAGTATGCGGAAGTGCCGGAAAGCTTTATTTATCTCATGAGAAACAACAGCACAAAAAGCAACAGCAGCGTTGACCACTTTATTCGTCGCTACACATGGTATAAGAAAGTCCTGCTTGTTGGTTAGAAATTGGACGGCGGGTCGTGTCGATCGGTGGGCTGTAGATGGACGGCGAGAAGTTGAAGGTGTTATTGGAGAAGTTGCAGCGCCACCAGACAAGCACCATCTTAGGCGGGAGGGTCAGCTGGAGCCGGGGCGGCCGCGCTCTTTCCACCAGCGTCAGGGGCGTCTGAAACGGCAGAATATGCTAATTCAGACACAAAAGCAACTAATTTAAAACGTGCAAAACCCACTCATCGCCGATTTTCCAGTACCGCCGCCGGCAGCAGCGGGCTCTTCCTTCTTTTTGCCGCCGCACTTCAGCAGGGCGCACGAGATGACGACGCTCGAAACGACGACTCCAAACATGGCAAAGACGAGGTGGTGTCGGTTGAGGCGACGACGAATGCGAGATGTTCGCCGGCAGAGTGAGCTTCGTTTTATAGGAGAATTCCCACGCAAATCGCAGACGACATCCGGATGCTAATTTCAGATTCCGAAACGGGCAAGTTCCTCATCCTGCGGTGCGAACTTGCGACTAGCTTTGTTTCCAAGCCGGCGACGCAAGCTTCAATGGTTAGCTTCGTTTCTAAGCCTCCGGCGCAAGCTAGAAACGCTAGCTTTGTTTCCTAGCCTGCGAGGCAGGCTACCAAATAATCGACCCTTCAAAATCTCCCAAAGACGTTTGCCAAAAAAACGCGCGCTTCCACAAAAATCGGGAATTCAGAACGAGTTATTTGATTCCAGTAACTTTTGATTTTCCCTTTTCCAACACTCGCTCCACGGTTCCAGGGAGGAATGTGCTTCCAATTTTATTAAAACTGCCCAAATAATGCATTAACGTTGTCAAAACCGAGAAATAAATAACAAAAAAAGCAAGCGAGAAAAAGACGAGTAAACCCTCGAAGGTCGATGTCCACCGCGCCGGCTCATCGGAAGAAGATCTCGCGATCCGGGCATTCCCTCTCGTGTCGCTCAATCTCCGGGTAGCGATAGAGATGCGAAGCATTGTAACGGCACATCGACCAACACTAAAAACAAGGAATTCGAAAAATTAGGAAATTGATTCACCTGGTTCTTCGACGGATTCTCAATGCTGACGGGCGCGTAGCAGCGGTGATCACTAAAAGGGGTTTCAGCCTTGCTACCGGAACCACTAGGAATCCTGCCCAGAAAAGGGCAGTCCGGGTGAATCAGACAAAAACTCACGCTATTTGCTTCGGCTCCAGCGGTTTCTGTGGCTCGGGCCGAAATTTTGGGTCGAGCGGCTCGATGGTTTTGTACGGACCGTTGTAAATCGGGACAGCCGGCTTCTCTCGCAGCTCGCGGATCACATCTCCGAACCCCTCTTGATTCTTGTGGGCCAACCGGGCGGGCACGGCGGTTGGTGGCAGGTAATTATGATCTGGAGGAAAGGAAAAGTATTTAACCGACAACTTCAAACATACTCGGGTCAAATTTCGGCAGATCCGGGTGCATCTTGTAGCATTGTTCCGGGAACTGGTACTTTGCCAATGGGCAGGCCTCTAGAACAAGATAACTCTTGAGCATTTCAAAGCATTTACCTCTCGGGCTATTCGCGTATTCAGCGTGAGCGAGCTGTGCGGGCAGAAAGACATTCTTCGCATTCTGGCTGACGGTTTCTCCTGAAAACAACTATAAAATTGGAAACCGAAAATTTAACGCACTTGCGATGCCGGTCAGCTTGGGCCGTCGCCGGGGCACGTCGGGGTATTGCCACATCGCTGATATGTAGCGCGGCAAGTTTGGCTGAAAATGAATGTTTTCACAGGCAGTTTGTAAAGCTCGAGCCCAGGGAGCCCAGGGAGCCGGGAGTCCAAAGAGCTTAGGGAGCTTCCCGAGTTATATTAAAGTATCATTGACATTAATTTTGGGCTATTATACTAGTATTAGTGCATTACTACAAGATTTAATACGAATTACGACTTTTATAACCTTATACCGCAAAAAGTGTCTTGGGCTCCCTGGGCTCCCTGGGCTCGAGCTTTACTAAATGCCGTTTTCACAAAGAAATAAAACACGTTCAGCAATAAAAAATGCGAAATCTTACGAGTGCGAAAAATCGGAACCGCACTCAAATAGTACGCTTAGCACCGTTTTACGGCCAGAGTACTGTTGCGGAACGAAACGGCGCTCCGCGGATTTTGTTTGAGTTTCATTTTTTATTTTTTAAATGTATTTTTCAATTTCATGAATTTAGAAAAATACTTGTAATGTAATAAAATACTAATAAAGACTTTTAGGATTATCTCTATCCCGCGCCAGCGCTTCAGGCGCTCTGAAAAGCGTTGACGATGCGCATTGAATAGTAAGTTACTTTCGTTATTCATTCCTGTCTTTTTCAGCGATTACCTCTTCAAGCTGCTCCTCATCGGCGACTCTGGCGTGGGCAAATCGAGCATTTTATTGAGGTGTCGAAATGATTTTTTCTAAAGCATTCTGTATAGATTCGCCGATGACACGTACACGGACAGCTACATTTCAACGATCGGCGTAGACTTTGTAGGGGATTCTATGTCGATTTCATTTTTGTTTTTAGAAGATCAGAACGATCAATCTGGATGGGAAGATGATCAAGCTTCAGATTGTGAGTTCGCAAATTCCATCTTATTTGATTGATCCTTTTTTTAGTGGGACACAGCGGGCCAAGAGCGTTTCCGCACGATCACTTCCAGCTATTATCGCGGTGCACATGGTATCATCGTCGTCTACGATGTGACCGCTCTGGTTTGCAATTTTTTTATGTTTTGGTATTAATTTTTGCTTAGGAAACGTTCAAGAACCTTGAGCAGTGGATGCAAGAAATCAAGCGGTACGCCACTGATAATGTGAACAAGCTGCTGGTCGGAAATAAATGCGACCTGGGCGAGAAGAGGGTTGTTCCCGCGGAAACGGGCAAGGTATCGTGTGCAAATTTAAAGAGATGAGGACGGCATCTGTTGAACCCCCCTTGGGGAGGGGGGGTTCAACAGGTCCCGCGGCGATCTCGCGCGAGAGAGGGCTCCCAGGGGAGAGGCGCAGAGACATTTTCTTTCCCTAGCGTAATCGATTGACTTATGCCGCCCCTATCTCTTTAAACGTCTATGCGCTGGTTCAGGAATTTGCGGACAAACTGTCGATGCCGTTCCTCGAGACCTCTGCCAAGCAAAGTACTAACGTTGAAGAGGTATATTCAATTTTATCCTCTTGATGATATGTTTAGGCCTTCATCACGATGGCGTCGAGTATCAAGGCGCGGATGGGGCCAGTCGGGCAGACCTCAGGTGATTTCTGCTGGCTTCTGTTGTGTTCTGTTTCAAATATAAGAGCGGAAGTGTTTCTAAACCGTTTTTTATTCTTTGCAAGCGCAAAGACTTTACAATTTTTATAGAAAACCCATAGATTTCTCGACAAAAACGGTCATCTTGGACAAAATTTCGACTTTTTGAAAAAATGTGAAAGTTTTTAGATGGTTTTCTAGTTGCAATACCTTTACGCGTTGTGAATAGTTTTATTAAAATACTGTTAACTTGCTATTAAGTTACTGAACCTTGCTTGGCTTACACAAAAAGTTTCGGGTCTTTTCGACAGCGACAACGGCCTTTTTTCAGACGCTCACCCGGCTGTCCGTATCAAGGGTTCGAAGCTGATCGAAGAGGACCGAGGGCTCTGCTGCATGTGAATAACAAACGGACGGAATGCATTTGATTTTCCTTTTTGTGTGCTACATTGGATGTCGATGAATAAAGCGTTTTTCTAACAGACATCAGTTTCGTCTCCGAGATTTTTGCATAGGAGCTTAATTAGGAACTTCCGGTCTTAGGTGCCGCAAATTTCTGTAGCGCGACAAGGTCAGTCCACATTTCCGATGGGCCGACACCGCAACCGGTCGGGATCGACGAGCTGCTCGTCCAAACGCTCCAGTAATAAGGTTTTTCTATTTTTTCGTTTCCCTGCTTTTTATTGCAGCCCCGTCAGCGGAAATATGAGCGCGAGCCGGAGAGTGATGGGTTGGTTTTCCAGGACCTGCAGCTACGACCAACCACAAACCTATTGACGTTCGTAGGTCGATGAACAGCAGTCCCACATCGCGTGCCAGCACCAATGACTCGTCGCGCAACTGCTCGTCTCGGTCGAGCCCCGACAAACAGCTGGTGGGAGGCGTCGTAGAAGCACCTCCCTCGGATATCGACGCCAATCTGCAGTTCTTTGTCGGGGTAAGGATCATCTAAAATTCTGGTCTATCGGCCGTTGTCTCAGAACAAACTCGGCCTGGCCCCGCAGAAGCCGAGCGCCGAAGAGCTGGAACAAAAGCCCAGGCGCAGTAAGTGTTAGCTTTGTTTCCTGGGCCGGGAAACTCATAAACCCGTTGCCACTTTCAGGATCGGTCGACTCCTACTTTGTCGGCGTGCACCGCTCGGCCGACGTTGAGCGCCAGCTGCGCGGGCCCAACGACTTTGTGTTCTACTATCGCGTAGGGTTCTTGAATTATTTCAAGGCCCGCTTCTTCTTTCAGCAGCCCTCCTCGCTGAACATCAGCCTCTACCTGTGCCTGTTCGTCGCCTATCAGAGCACGGCCGGCAGGGTCTACCACTATAAGGTGATGACCAAGAAGACGAACGGGCAGAAGAAGTGGTTCGTCGACTGCGGCGAGGTCTCGCCCAAGGAGGTCGGAAATTCGGCTAATTTTTGATTGTCTGTCTTTCAGTTCAGCTCGCTGGAGCGACTGATCAGCTCCTACACGACGTACTGCTACGCGGGACCCGGCTTCGAGAATCTCGACATTTTCCCCGTCGATCTGGTAAGGGTTCTGGAGCCCCTGACCCTATTTTTCCGGATGGTTCAGCCGCCGGACTGGGAGCTGCACTGCGACGACGACACGACCTTCTAGCCGCCGACGACTCGAGAATTCACGAATCCTGATGGCCAACAATTACCCGCTTAAAATTTCTCGATCAATCTTCACGCTCATTTACTCGTTTAATTTGTCTGGCGAATAAATGCATTTTCGGGTGTTTTTTTCTTGCATCCGAGATCTAGTGAAGTACTATGGGCTTGTGAATGTATTTTTCTGTTGTTTCGGCAGACGTTTAATGAAAATTGTCGAAAAACTGGCGTTCCCCGTTGGCATGGGTGATCTCGATGAATGGCGTCCAGCCGGACGATACGTGCTGCTTCAACTGACTGGCGAGCGTGTGCGCTGTAAAGGCCGGCTAGCGGAGGTTCTTTGCGGAAAACTCACGCGTGAGCAAGTCGGACGGGGTCTTGGCCGGCGAAAAATGGAAGCCAAGGTCGCTGGATAGGCGGCGTGACTAATTTTCGTTTTCAGAACTTTTTATAGAAATACCAATTTCCGGCGCGGGCTCGGCAGCAGCGTCAAGTTGGCCGGCACGGAGCGCTTGAGCTAAAAATTGGGTCCTTTCGCATTATCGGGGGGCAACTCTTTTCTGAGGACCCAATTTTTGGAAATTATAAATAGGGAAAGTGTTTCGAAAAAGGTGTTTCTAATTCGTAAACGTGAGCACTTTTCCAATTAAAAAAATAGCAAAAATATTGATTTTCAGCAAAAATCGACGATTTTTAACCAAAATTTCCTTTTCAGAAATTCTTTAAGTTTTAGAAGGTTTTTCTAGTTGAAACCTAGTTATTTTTCACTAAAAACACGATTAAAACACATTTTTTATAAGGAAAAGTTGTGTACCTTATTGTTCTCGTTGTACGACGGCATCGATATCGATCGGCATAGCAATTCGTTTCTTGGGGGAGCCAAATTTTGCATAGACTGTTGCCCGGAGCTGCCGGGAATCTTAAAAAACTAGTTAAAAAAGAAGCTGAAAAATAACGAAGTAAATCGACAATTCAGAACAAACCTCTTCACATAGTCGCGCGATGTAGTCATTCTTTTGCGCCAATTCCTGAAGACGTTCAAGGTTATATTTTGTTGCGTTTTGCTTTCATTTTATTTTGTTTTTAAAATGGTCCTTAAATGAATCAAACGAACTACGCTTTGGGGAGGATTTATTTCTATTTGACCCTTTTCTGACCTGCTTGAGCGCGTCGATTTCCTGCTGCAGCTCGTTGATCAGCTGCTTCTGGTTGTTGCGGTAGCGCGTGGCCGCCTCGGCGTTGCGCTCGCGGCGCAGCGCCAACTTTTGCTGCGGGTTCAGGTGTACCGGGGGCGCCTAGAAGTTCAGATATGTTTAAAAACTTTAGAGCAATTGTTTTCATAGTGTTTTTAGCAAAAATAAAACTAGTTTCAATTAACGAAATTTAACTAAATTATTTTATTTTATTATTTTTAGTTATATTTAATCTTCAGATTAATACCAGATTACGGTAGATAGGACATTAATTGAAAGCGGCACATATTGTGTAAAACAGACGCGAATGAATACAGCCCATCATAAAATTTTACGAAAGATATTTTTTAACTGCAAATTTTTGAAGCAGTGCTTCGGCAAAATCATATTTCGGCAAGCTGGAATTTCGACAAAAGTACGTTCAACATTCCAATTTTCGCCAATAAAAAATAACGCGACACTTACCTTTAAAATCGGATCTTCGCGTTACTTATCTTGTAAAAACTAGTACCACTTTTCAATTTTTGAAAAATGCCTTGTTTTCGAGAAAATTTTGGTTCTCTCGCATTATCGGGGGGACCAAACAATTCCCTATAAGTCCAGAAACTCACAGTAAGGTGGTAGAAAGTGTTTTAATAGTTTTTTCATAAAATTGACTTTATTTAGACTAGAAAAAGTATCTAAAACATTTAAAAATGCTTTAAAAAATCTAAATTTTGTTCAAAATCGGCTCTCTTTTTTGATTTTTTTTAACGAATATTTGTAACGTTTTGCGCTTATGAAAACGAAACCGAGAAAAGAAAAAAAACGAAACGGCTTTACCAAAAATCCATTTTTTGAATGTTTTTTGATCAAAATTTGTACATTTTTTACATTCAGGGAAAGTAACAACATTCGAAAAGGCTTTCTCGACTTATTTATTAGACCCCCCCGCTAATAAACCAGAACCAAAAGAACTAAACGCACATCTCCCTTGGGCGGACGGCCTCGTTTCACTTTTTGCGGCGGCAATTTCATACGGTAGTTGATGAATAGGGAATTAATTGCGATGGAATACGATGGAATACGCTTTCCGGAAAGTACAGGATAGTCGTGAAGGTAGCTTTTCGGGAAACGCGGCGCTTCGGACGTCGATGAGCTCGAGTGGTCAGCCAGCCAAAAATTACAGGCCAAACCGAAGGAAGGGGGGGCTTATTTTCCGAGGGGCTTCTCTGTTTACACGAACACCCGACGTTGCTGCATCGGCTGGGGTTTGTAAGTACGGCCCTGTGGGCAGCACAGTGGTCAATGTTTGGAGCTGGGCTGTTAGCGGGGAGGAAAAATCCCATTAATCCCATACCTTTAGAATGTCAAAAATCATAATGTCGACATTTCAGAATATCGAAAAATTCATTTTGGCGAAAATCACGATGTAGAAATTCATCATTTCGGCATTTCTGAACGTCAATTTTTCGGAATGTCGACATTTACATCCGTGCCGCCCGGGTTCCTTCAAAATGCCGACATTCATGATATCGAAAATTCAGAATGTCGAAATTTATGATGTCGGCATTTCGGAATGTCGAAATTCGCATGTGCAAAAATGTTCCACAGCAAAAAACAAAAACCAAAAGCACAAATCGAAATTTATTGTGGAAATTCCATTCTGTCGAAATTTCTTTGCTTTTTCGCCTCGATTATTCATGTCAAACTTTCGTAAATTGAAATGTCAGCGCATTGAAATTTCGACAAACTGAAATTGCAAGAGAATGATAATTCGACAAAACGAATTTCGACGCAATCGTATTTGGAAAACTAATAAAACCGGCGATGATGAGCAAAACGATCAATTTAAAACATCTTTATTCAATAGCACTTTCTGCACCATCCCATCCGCAGCAGATGCTCGTGCCACAGGGACAGGTATTTGAATTGGTAGATGAGAAGGGAGGAGTGCGTGCAGAGGAGCCCAACGGAAACGAGCAACCCCGGATAAACCATCCATTTCCCAGGCGCCGCAACGATCGTCAACACGCTGACGAACAGGGCGGCCAACGCGACGAGCGTGTACAGGAATCGGGTGGCGCACTCGAATAACTGTAAAATTAAACCTTGGAGGTACGCGCATAGCTTAAAGGCGGTAGGACAAGCCTTAGATACAACCGGCAAAAACCTTCAGCAAAAGGCAAAAAGTATGGAGGTATGGGGAATTGAACCCCAGACCTCTCGCATGCTAAGCGAGCGCTCTACCACTGAGCTATACCCCCGGCGAGTGCGCTGTGGCCGCGGGGCTAGAAGAGGGGTGGGGCGCCTCCCCGAGATTGGACCAATGGACTGGTATCAAAATTAGCGGTTTTTCGAGCTTGTGCTAATTTTAAGATTTTTTAAGATTCCGTGTTAAGCTACTAGTATATCTTAAACACATGTATAGTATATTTTGTTATTGTTATGTTAATCTTTCTAATTATTGTTATATTTATTATATTTATGGCGTTATTAGTACCTTTGGTGTTTTTAATAAAAATAATGGTTTTAGAATCTAGAATCTAAAACTTTTTTACCCAAAATAAGACCCTTGCTTTATGGATATTTAGGTTAAATGGTCCATTTTAAAGGTGCGATTCCATTCGATTTGAAGCATATAAATACCCGAAACACACCTGCGTAAAACAAAACACAACCATCAACCGGCGCTTCTTCCGCCTTATCGCCCAACCGCTCAACGCGTCGAGCACGACGTTCATCAACAGCTCGAACAGGCACACGCCAAACGCCACCCACGCGATTTTCCCGTCGATGATTTTCGTGGGCCTGAAACTTGCGTTTTTACATGCATAGTCAGAATTCCATTAGGCTTGAAAACATGATAGAATGGCGAAAATTGACTAATTATTTTCCAAAAATTATGTCTAAAATGAAATGCTTCAAAAATTAAGATACCACGCTATTTATTTGAAGAAAATGAGGGCTAAAATAAGGCGTTTCAAAAAAATTAAGGTATGGCGCGGGAATTGAGGCTTCATTTTCACTATTTGCCTCCTTTGACTATTTGCCATATTTTTCCCCGTTTCATTCTGATTTACTTTTCTTTACAATTAGCGATCTAACCATTTTTCTACTATAATATTTTTAATTACATGCTTAATTTATGTTATTATTTGTTGCACGGAAAATCAACAGTAAATTCAGAAACAATTCTAAATATTTGCCAAAAATGATGGCTAAAATAACCTGCCTCAAAAAATTAAGTCTAAAAAAATAAGACCAAATTTAATTGCTTTAAAAAATTAAAGTACCATCCCAATTATTTTCCAAGAAATTTTGGCTAAAAACAAATGCTTCAAAAAAATTCAGATACCATGCCGGCACTTGCACTTGCAATTGCTTGAGTCACTCTCGCCAATTTGTTTATTTTGGTTCAAAATTCGCAATATTTCACCCATTTTTCTCATATACTGTTATTAATTTTGTGCTTAATTTAGTTTTAGTATTGTATTTATTATTTTTTGACCCCTTTTCCCAATACATTATTTATTTACAACGCTTAATTTTTCACTTTGTCGATCCTGGGGCAGGCTAGCAGAGATTTTTTAGGAAACGGGTCCCAAACTATGAATATAACTCACTGATATAACGCCTCCACGAAGACCATGATCACCTGCACGGATTGGGATAGAAATTCCGGGATGAAAAGCCGTTGGGAAAAAGCTTCCAGGGCTTTCTAAAATTGCATTTTTTTTGAATTACCAGGGTTGAAAAACCGCTTCGCGGCTTTTCAACCCTGGCCCCGTCTAGGACCGATGAAAGTCTTCAATTTGCATGCTTCTTCCCCAAAATCTATCAGGAAAAAAGTGAAAAACGGCTCCTCTGTCGCTTTATATAGGCTATCCCACTTCCGGCTTATGCTAATTGACCCCTAACAAAGAGGGTGGGCGAGAATTTTACAAAAATTTGTTTTTAATAGCGAAAATAGCAATTTTTCAAAGATTTTATGTGCGAGCAGTCGATTCCGGACCCTTCTTTACCTAATGACGTTTCTTCCCTACCGAAAAAATGCTTCCCTGAGGCTGTAGGTGCGGAACATCCTCACGGAAGTTGCATGCAAATGCACACACACACACACACACACAGACACTATTTTTTTATATATAGTAGGATTTAACATTAATTCACTAAAGCTTTAATCAGTTTCATATGCATTAACCCATCAATAAAAATTTTGAAATTTTCAAAAATTAATCGATTAAGCTACCTTTTCCTCGTCGCGTCGCGCTCGCCAGTTCTCAAGGTCCTGAAAATGTGGATTTCTAAAACTGAAATTTAATAGCTTTTGTTTTTGTTCTTTAATACGTCTTTTTCAGCTTTAACTTTTATTGATTTTTCAATCTAAAGTAAAAAATTTTTTAAAATTTTTCGCTGCTAGTAAAATAACAGTGTTTTATATCTTGGTGGCCGTAAAATCGGAAAGTTCTAACAGTTGTGACAAGTACTATCCGCTTAAAAATCCCAAGAAATCTCCGCTAGCCTGCCCTCTCCTCTTCCTCAACAATCTCTGCTAGCCTGCCCTCTCCTCTTCCTCAACAATCTCTGCTAGCCTGCCCTCTCCTCTTCCTCAACAATCTCTGCTAGCCTGCCCTCTCCCTCTTCCTCAACAATCTCTGCTAGCCTGCCCTCTCCTCTTCCTCAACAATCTCTGCTAGCCTGCCCTCTCCTCTTCCTCAACAATCTCTGCTAGCCTGCCCTCTCCTCTTCCTCAACAATCTCTGCTAGCCTGCCCTCTCCTCTTCCTCAACAATCTCTGCTAGCCTGCCCTCTCCTCTTCCTCAACAATCTCTGCTAGCCTGCCCTCTCCTCTTCCTCAACAATCTCTGCTAGCCTGCCCTCTCCTCTTCCTCAACAATCTCTGCTAGCCTGCCCTCTCCTCTTCCTCAACAATCTCTGCTAGTTGCCCCAACTCTTCAAAACGTACACATTTATGATCAGGAACGCTGGCAGTCGAGGCGATAGATGCTAATTCAGTTCCAATTCCCTCATCCACCTGGGTCATCGCATAGCCGATTTTTGGTGGCGAAATTTAGCGTTTTAAAAATATAGTTAAACAGGTTTTAACCTATTTAAAAATAGTGTAGATTAAAGATGTTAAAATCAATTAGCTATTTTGGTTGGTCGATTGCTTCCAAGATAAATAGCTTGAAGCCTTTTCTGGTGGGCGTCTATAATCAAGTGGAAATTTGAGGCCGTGCTCGGGGGCGCGTGGCCCCACTTATTTGATGCTCTGATCATCGAGGTTCTGTTTATAGAGCAGAAAAAGACAGGATGTTTTATTTTACCAAAAACTGGATAAAGCCGTCTCGAGACATAAATTTTAATTATAAATTTGAGATGAATGCTTCGGAAATTTACGAGGGTCGGCTCGAAAAATGAAAATCGTATGTCATCAAATAGATCCGTTAAAAGCTTTACCTGTAAAAGGCTGATAGACCTCACCTGTCTCCCTCTCTCGCTCTCCCTCTCTCTCTCGCTCTCTGTCTCCGTCTCTCTCGCTCTCCCTCTCTCTCGCTCTCTGTCTCCGTCTCTCTCTCTCGCTCTCTCACTCTCTCTCACTCTTTCTCTCGCTGAAATTTATGGGGATGTCAGAATTATCAGAATCAGAAAAATCAGAATGATCGGAACTAAATTTTATTCAAACACTTTTTTTTAAAAATGTCATTTAAGGTGTATCTAAAAATTCAATTAGTGAAATCACTGGTTAAAAAATTCAAGCATGAAATTTTCATACAAAAAGTTGCAAGATTCGAAATGAACAAATTATTGGTTTAGCTTCTCAAAAAGTGCTCGCGTCGCGCTTGGAGCAAGAAGTGTTCGGCCATCCGCAGATTCGGCACCCCCACCCGGCGATGGTGGGAGTCGAGGCCGTTCGCCGTATCCAGAATGAACTGGGGCACGTCCTGAAAATACTCTATGAAAATTCAGGGTTCTTTCGCATTATCAGGGGGGGGGGTGGTGGAATCCTACCTTATATAATTTTGGTGTGTATCTTTGTGTGTGTGTGTGTGGATGTCAGTTTCGAGGCCCGATTTGAGGGCCTTCCCGTGTCAAGAACGCCCCAATTCTTCGTCACTTGGGGGAATCGACCCTTCTGTTTCCGATGGCGTTTTCATAATTACGATAAAATACAAGTTTACAAAGTTAAAGCCGGTTTTATTCATTTTTGGGGTCCGGGAGGGCTAACTTGCATAAAGTGAAAAAATACAAATTTCCTCATTCTTACAAGTTGCGCGCGCGTGTGTGGTCGGTTGGGGGGGCGAAGGACCCAAGCTATCGGAAAGTCAATTTCTCATGCAAGGGCAGCATTCCAGCGCCCAAGGCCCGCGAAGCGGGTTTTGGGCGCTGGTTTTGCGTATAACTCTGCATAGTATCTAGCAAAAAAAAATGGTATATTGTGAAAATCTGGGCGAAAATCGGCCGTTTTGGTTGAAAAGTCTCTACTTTTTAATCCTGGATTTTTATAGGATTTTTCGTCGATTTTTATATTATTCACTTTTCATGCCAATCCTGGTGCAAATCCCTGGAGAATCTTTTGAAAAGTAGAATATAAAATATAAACGTATGAAAAATAATATAAAATAGAGGATATAGAGAGAAAATAAGAGGGGGTTTTAACGAATTTTAGGGTTTTTTTGACCGCTAAACAAGCTTAAAATAAGCTTCCCATTAAAGCTACCACGTTCAAAATGTAAAATAGCCGATACCGGATCAATATAAATTTACTTAAGCCGTAATACAAAAAAGCTTAAATCAAGGCAAATTTATAAAAACCCACCCGGCGCATATTGGTCAGTAAATCAGCCAACCAGCGGGCCATCAGCACGAGTCTCCATCTACGATGCCACCTTACATCCGTCAGGTCTTCGACTGAATAAATGTTTTAAAAGCTTTTAAAATTTCCAAATTTTCTAAATGATTTAAAAATTCTCAAAATATTGTAAAATTCTAAAAAATTTCGATTAAAAATTAAAGCGGAAAGTTTGTTATTGTGAGCAAAATTATTGTTTTAACTTAAGCTGAAGTGCACCGAAAACATAATACCGTAGTTAGCAAAGTCTAGTCTTCCTTTTTTCACCAGATAAAATTTCGCAACATAAATCAAATTTAAATGAGCATGATATGCTTAGCAAAATAGAAAAAGACTAGATGAGAATTTGGAAAAATAATTGAATCAAAGCTGTTTTGAAAAATAAACAAAAGTAGAATTATTTTTACATTTACAGAAATTTTATTAAAACCTAAATCAAATGCTGGAATTAATTATTTATTAGCGTTAAATTTAGAAGTTTCAAAACCATAATACTGACTGTGCATAAAGTTTTTATCCTTAGATCTCTGCGCCTAAAAAATGTTTTCAATATTAAAAAATATAGAAGCTAAACAACGGAAAATTAAGTAATTGCTTGATTTAAACGGATCCAAATTAACCCAGAATTTCATTAAAAAAGAACGTAGCGTAAAAATTACCAAAAAACGTAGTGGAACGGCCGGGTTTTCCGGCGCGACCGGTGCGCCCGATCCGCTCGATATACGTGAATTTGTGGTCGCTAAAAGAATGTAAAAACGGTAATTAAATACTATTATCAACTTTAAAATATAAATATGATAATTTCAAAACCTACTAAGTAGATGGCAACTCAAAATTGATGACGTGCTGCACGCCGCGTGCCCCAAAATCGAGCCCGTTTGCTGCGGCGTTGGTCGCGACGAGGACGGGGATTCTAGGGGAATAGGTTAATTAAACCAGCGTGTTATTTATGGTATTATAGTAGATTATATTTTCTTATTTATCTTTTATTTATTGCTATTCATCACGTTTGGCCAGTGATACTGCTAAAAATGGTTTTTTCCTTAGTTTTCCATGTATGGTTTCCTTAGCATCAATCCTGATCATCTAAATAGCGGAAGACTTTCCAAAATTCTAAGATAATTATTGCTAAACGTCAAAATTTTACAAATTTTTACTAAAAAAATACAACATGCAATCGATGTATCGAACAAAACTGGCCTATTTCCCTTTTCCTCACCTGCCATCCGAGAAATCCTTATAATTCTGGGCTCGATCCAACTCTTCCAGATCACTGTGGAAACATTTATTTTCGAAGCCCATCGCTTTAAGCTGTTCGGATAAGCTGGAGGCATCTGTTTTTCGATTAACAAAAATCAGTGTTTTTGTCAGGAGCCCTTGATCTGGAAAGAATTTACTTAAAAGGGCAGGCTAGCAGAGATTGTTGAGGAAGAGGAGAGGGCAGGCTAGCAGAGATTGTTGAGGAAGAGGAGAGGGCAGGCTAGCAGAGATTGTTGAGGAAGAGGAGAGGGCAGGCTAGCAGAGATTGTTGAGGAAGAGGAGAGGGCAGGCTAGCAGAGATTGTTGAGGAAGAGGAGAGGGCAGGCTAGCAGAGATTGTTGAGGAGGAGGAGAGGGCAGGCTAGCAGAGATTGTTGAGGAAGAGGAGAGGGCAGGCTAGCAGAGATTCTTGAGGAAGAGGAGAGGGCAGGCTAGCAGAGATTGTTGAGGAAGAGGAGAGGGCAGGCTAGCAGAGATTGTTGAGGAAGAGGAGAGGCAGGCTAGTAGAGATTGTTGAGGGAAGAGGAGAGGGCAGGCTAGCAGAGATTGTTGAGGAAGAGGAGAGGGCAGGCTAGCAGAGATTGTTGAGGAAGAGGAGGGGGGAGGCTAGCAGAGATTGTTGAGGAAGAGGAGAGGGCAGGCTAGCAGAGATTGTTGAGGAAGAGGAGAGGGCAGGCTAGCAGAGATTGTTGAGGAAGAGGAGAGGGCAGGCTAGCAGAGATTCTTGAGAAAATCTCGCGCTTACCATCTTTTTTATGGCGAAGTTCAAAATAGTGGCGCGTCACCGTAGCAGGCTTGCCATTCTGATCAATCACCTCTTCAGTGACCTCGTATTTGGGCGAATCGGCGATAACTCTACATTCGGTTTTGGAACATAAGAAATTCCTGACTCAAATTGTTCCCGCAAAATCGCTTCAATGCGATCCAGAATTCCATTACGTCCAATCTCTCGGGCGTCGACAAAGTTCTGGAAAAAGTCGATGTTTCAAGGCACGAAGGCATGTAACGCAAAGCGGACGCCTCTATTTAGTAAAATCATAATTAATAATACTCTCTATTTCTAATGCTTTAATAGGGTTTGTATCAATTTTATAACCATTTTGAGCATAATTGACAAATAAAAAGGAGAGGGGTCCTTTCAGTAATATGAATTTTTGCCGATTTGTCCAAAAACATAAAAAATCTAGTTTATAGTTTTTTATTTATTTCTGGGTATTTTATTGTCTAAAATCAATGCAACTGAATTGCGTGTTTTATGCAAGTCCTAAAAAGACCTGTTCAATGAGCGGATTCGCCGTCATATCCCGGCCCACAGAGATCGAGAAGACGTCCAGCTGAAACGATGCCTAAGCAATTTTTTTACCACTGACCGTAATTTATTATCGTTAATTAAAATAACCAAAAACTGCTCTGCCATGAAACATAAAAATTTACATTTTCTGGATCGTTGTCGTTGAGGTAAATTGGGCAATAGCATGAGCCGCCATCGTGATTATCTGGCCCCACATATTCGAATTCTTCAATCTGGAATCGGGTGGTTTTTCTTAAAAACTTCTGATGCCATCATGTCGAAATTTTATAATGGCGAAATTTCAGAAGGCCGAATTAAGCTTGACGAATTTGCCTCTTGTCGAAAGTTCTTCAGATCGATATTTAAAAGTGCCGACAAGTCAAAGTTTCGAGACTCCCTCTCTCCCCACCTCTCCCCTCTCTTTCTCACTCTCTCTCTCTCTATTCCTTCCGCCCTCTCTCTCTCTCCTTCTCTCTCTCTCCCGCTCTCTCTCTCTCCTTCTCTCTCTCTCTCTCTCTCTCTCTCTCTCTCTCTCTCTTACCGTTAACAATCTCTTCCCAACCCTCCGCAAATTCATGTTCATTGCCGCCGACGTGAGCAGGACTGCGTACGGCCGCTCGCTGGCCGGAGCAAAATCTCCCAGTCGGTTTAAAAACCTGGAAAATTGTGTTTAAAATTTGGTCTAATATTTCAAAGATATTTCTGTTTTGAATGAAAGAATTTTCAAAGATATTTTTCAAAGATTTTCGAAGATAATTCTGCTTAAGTCGTTAAATTGTATCAACAATTTCGTTGGATCGCTGAATTTTTGACATTTGTCATTATTGAGGAAAATCGCCTTTAAAAACGGCATTCACAGAATTTTTAATTCATGATCTTTTTGGATAATGTTAACTGCTTCGTTTTGAATTTAAGATTTTTTGGCCTTTAGAGTGGGTATGTTTCAGTAAAACCAGGGCTTCGATCGGGGTTTAGACTCAGAATCTGCTCTTTTGCAAGGTTGGAATGTTCGATGCTTTATAATCAGCATTTTTTTTTTGAAAAATTGAACCGAAACCAAAGTTTTTCAGCTACCTGTTAAAGTCGATCGTCATCGAGGCGGACTTCCAGGAGTCGACAAATTCGTGGAATTCGTCGACCACGAGATATTCCAAGCGACTCGTGTCGAGCAGGCCCCGTTCCATGAAATCCTGGAGTCGCCCGATCGTCGCCACGACAATGTCGATATTCTGGTGAAAAGCGGTAGTGTTTTAACGTGACGTTTAAGACATAGTTATGGAGAATTTCATCCAAACGACGGCCAAAATCCCGACGGGCTAAAAACCACGATCGCGAAAAACCCGACAGCGAAAATACGGGGAAGAAAATCCCGAAAGCCAAAATCCTGACCCGCCAAAATGCATGCAAATGCAATGCAACCAAAACATCTCGACGGGCCAAAACTTGCACGTCATGTTGGCTTGTCGGCATTATTGGTTGTCGGGATTTTGGACTGTCGGTTTTTTTACTGTCAGAAAACAGGGTACCGATAGTGGAAAAAATGGAGTTTGAGGTTAAAGGGAGCGTGAAAGGAAGAATTTTAGGGCCGTTTTTTAAGGGGAGAGTGACACTAGAGCTTGTTTATCGAGTTTTAAGGAGCTTTTGCTTAAAATGTTCCGATCTTGATTTTAATAATTTAATTGCTAACCTTATCCAGTCGATCGATGCAATTATTCACCAACGTCCCGCCGTAAAGTGCCTCGACGTGCAGCCCGCTACCCGCTGCGAATTTACGACCCTGGAAATGGAAATTACAGCCGAAGCTACGCAATTAAAAGCTGAATCTTGCGCGAAACATGGAAGTTTGTCGAAACATAAATTTTTTCGCACGCTGTACAAATTTTTTCCGCAGTTAGGTAAATCGTGGAAATTCTAATATTATAGTGCCAAGCAGAGATAATTTTCAAATTAAAATAAATGTAAAAAGTAAAAAAATCAGTTTTCCAAGAGCTCTGCGTCTGCAATTTTGCTCTGATTCGTACTTCGCAAATTTTGTAGACCATAGAAATGAATCGAATACACTATTTGCTCTGAAAATAATTAAAGCCAATTCCTAGCTGCCTTGCCGTGATATTTAAATGAAAAAATATTGCACTTTACCATTGATTCGTAAAAATGTAAGTTTCATTAATTTTTCAGCAAAACCAATGTTTCACCTTGGCAGCGCTAGGTCTAAATTGTACACTCGGTATTACGCACTTGGACTTGGTAACCTCGAAAAACATGCTAATTTTCAAAAACCTCGTTGGCGATCTGCTCGGCCAACTCGTGGATTGAGGCGATGATGATGGCGCGGGGCTGGCAGGCGCGAGGATTTTCTGCCGCTTCGCGGGGAGCTTCCCCGCGTGTCAGCAACTCCAGGAGTCCCAGAACATAAGCGGTAGTTTTACCTAAAATGATATTTTTAATGACTTGCTTTTCTGGTTCGACCTTTTTCTCACCAGTCTCTGCTAGCCTGCCCTCTCCTCTTCCTCAACAATCTCTGCTAGCCTGCCCTCTCCTCTTCCTCAACAATCTCTGCTAGCCTGCCCTCTCCTCTTCCTCAACAATCTCTGCTAGCCTGCCCCTCTCCTCTTCCTCAACAATCTCTGCTAGCCTGCCCTCTCCTCTTCCTCAACAATCTCTGCTAGCCTGCCCTCTCCTCTTCCTCAACAATCTCTGCTAGCCTGCCCTCTCCCTCTTCCTCAACAATCTCTGCTAGCCTGCCCCTCTCCTCTTCCTCAACAATCTCTGCTAGCCTGCCCTCTCCCTCTTCCTCAACAATCTCTGCTAGCCTGCCCTCTCCTCTTCCTCAACAATCTCTGCTAGCCTGCCCTCTCCTCTTCCTCAACAATCTCTGCTAGCCTGCCCTCTCCTCTTCCTCAACAATCTCTGCTAGCCTGCCCTCTCCTCTTCCTCAACAATCTCTGCTAGCCTGCCCTCTCCTCTTCCTCAACAATCTCTGCTAGCCTGCCCTCTCCTCTTCCTCAACAATCTCTGCTAGCCTTCCTCACTTACCGGCCCCTGTTTGAGAGCTCCAAATCATCGCTTCGTGCATTAATAGACCCGTTTCCGGGTCCATTGCCACCATCTTCGGGATGCCAAAATACTCGATCGGAGTCGGGTGATCGAAACTTGCGTCCCGGATGTTGCTCATCAGAAACGGTTGTAGCTCCAGCTCCTCGAAACTCCTAAAAATCACTGAAAAATCGCTATGTCCTAAATCGAAATGGTTTGTTGTTTCTTGTTTGTTTTTCCACTTTTGCGGGATTTTACCGCGTAACTAGTTGCGAGCCCGATTGTCGATAACTTTTAAATTCTGAGATTGAGACGTGGTTTTTTCCAGCTTTGAATCCATTTTGTTAGCGACTTCTAGAGCTTCACTCACCCATGCGCCACTCCGGGCGTCCGGCGGACACTCAGCTTCTCGCTCGGCTTCGTCCACATGTTGACAGACTGGCCGAGGCGCGCTAGAAAATATCACATTTTGTCTGGCGTATTTTAATTTTGTCGGAGGACCATTTTGTCGAAATATCACTTTGTTGAAATTTCATTTTGTCAAAATTTCAAGGCATTTCCTCAAATGGCTCGAAAACTGAAATTTCAGTGAAATCGAATTTAGAAAAAAATGATGTTTCGACAGCGTAATAATTCGGAAAAATGAAATGTCGACAATCACGTTCCAAAACTGAAGCTCCGACGAAATGCTCGCAACGCATTTTGTCTTTTTAAAAACCGACGTTAGACAACAAAATGCTGACGAAAAACAGCGCGAACCTGATCGGAAACTTGAAACATTTTCATTTACCAGCTCATTTGTTTGTGTGTATTGAATTTTTAGAATGTAGTATTGGCGTCGGGATTCTTTGATTGTTTTATTTATTTTAGCCTGACAGCCATGGCTATCGGAGCGTTGTTTCTAGTCAAATTTATCAATATTTCACAAAGGAAACCATCTAATCACTTTAATCTTTGAAATTTTGGTCGAAAAAATCGATATTGATTGCAGTCCCCCCCCCCGATAATGCGAAAGAACCTGTTTCCGGCCGCCTTGCGCATTCATTAATTACCATCCTATCGAAAATTCCTAACACTTACATTAATGTCGGGTCCGACAAGCACTTGCGCGTCCCGGAGTTCATCTACCGTATGCCGGGTCGGGACAAACGTGGCGCGGTGTCGGATTTTTCCGGAAGACCCGTGATTGCGGCCTGGCTTTGGCGGCTCGGGGGCCGGCGGGTTCGGGCAGTGCGTCTGGAGGTGGCCTGAAATCTCTCAAATTAATGTAGTTGTTGGTTTAATTTATTTCGGCTAGACTTTACCTTCTACTACTACGATATATTATTGAATTTTTTAATATTGTTATTATTTATTTTATAGATGATATGTCGATCGATTATTTATCTGTACCATATTATATAATATATTTTTTTGATTATCATAAGCACAATTTTATTATATTTATGTTATGATTTTTTAAACACGATGGCAGCAATCAAAAATGCAATTAAAATAATAAGCAATTAAAAATACCTTCGGACTTGCAATTTTTGCAGTAGGTGAAACGCGGATCGTCGCGTCGCGGACAACTTTTACGGCCGTGCCCCGCATTGCCACAGTGGGCACACACGCCACTGTGCCGTTTTCGCGCTGAAAATTTTAGATGTGTCAGAAAGTCATACTGGATATCACAGCCTCAGTGAGATATTATTATTTCCGGTTTGATTGAATAATAGTGATAGACTTTTGGGGTTTTTTTGGAAAATTTCGATTTTATAAACCACCAACGGGAACCTCAAGTAGCGGTTAGAAATTTTCTGCTTTTTAGAGAATCGTGAAACATCAACTTTTGTTGACAAATTTCTCGGTTTTACGAGCGATTTTTATTTATACATCGCACGGGCCGGAGCGAGTTTTACTTTTTAAATAATTAGGAAACATCGAATTTCTTCAAGTTTTCTAATTTTAGCTGCAAACAGCTGCCACAAAAATTACAAAACAATTGAGGACTTTCAAGTAATAGTTCAAAATCAGGGGTAAAAAAGCCGAAACTCAGAAACGGTAATACGGTAATAAAACACAATAATTAATAGACAGCTGAAATTGATCGGTCACTAAAAACCAGATCGACCACCCAAAGTATTTTTTCCTGATTCTTTTTGTGTTTTGGGTGTTTCTTTCGGTATTTATTCCTTGGTTACGAGAAAAACAAGAAAAAAACGTTTACAGTGGAACGCCCTATTAAATTCAGGCCTGCTGATTTTAGCTCCAAAATATTTTGAAACACTTTTTACTTAGGATCAATTTTTCTACAACCCTTGTACAAATTTTTCGCTAGCTAGTTTTTCCATAACGATGGCAGAATGTTCTTCTTTAAAATTAACCAATCCAGTTGAACGTTGTTGAAATGGCTCAAAATAAAATTCCCTTCACCGTTTTTACTATTTTTACATTTTTATTAAAAACGAATTAGGTTATCATTTTCAAGATGCAACAGATTGAATAAATTTATGTGCGAAAACTTTTTCCTACCGTCCACTCCTGCCACATTATTATTCCGATGTCGTCTGCGTTTGCCTTGGCTTTTGCCATGGCCTGGACCATCTAAAAATCAATATTAAGAATGGCAGCTAGCGGAGAACATTTGGCAATTTGTTCAACAGAGAAATTGGCTAAAATCGCGAAAAATTATTGAGAACTTACCGATATTGACAGTCGCCATTTCCTGCTCCATTTCATCGATCAGATCGGCCCCGTCGGGCCGTGGAGCTGATTACAAAAATTATCTATTTATTTCTAAATCAAAACGAAAATGAATTCCAATTCAAGATACCTAAGTTTTTTTTGTCCAACTAAACTATGTTTCAAGAGCGTATAAAATTCAAAAAATGTATAGGATTCTAATGATATCAATTATCCGAGGGCAGAAAAATTAGCCGTATTCTTTTTCATGTTCAACCAAATTATGGCGTAGGTCTTAAAGGGATCCAGGCGGCATAAGCCAATCGATTACGCGCGGGAAAGAAAATGTCTCTGCGCCTCTCCCCTGGGCGCGCTCTCTCGCCGCTGCATCTCTTTAAATAATCGTGCTACTAGAAGTACTGAAAAAGGCGCACAAAGAAACATTCAAATGGTACCTTCTGAATTCGGCTGGCCCGCCGCGATATACGGTAGCTGGGTCCCTTCAGGAATCGGGTGATTCACCATAATTTCTGAAAGAAAAGGAAAATTATTGTTTTCTGGCAAAGTGTTATGAATCAATGCAGTTTGGTTGGGCCATTCGCCCACGTTAAGAGAATCAATGCATTCAAAATCTTAATAAATATGTTTTTCTTTAACAGGAAATGAAATTAAAAACCCAGATTGAACGGATTAATTTTTTAGGAAAGTGAAAGATTTTATTTTACAAAAAGTGTTTCTTGCATTAGCAGTAATTCATTGACTTTGCGTTGAGTAATAAATCTAATAAGTTTTCTAATATTTTTTATGAAATTTTTTTATATTATTGTAGTTTAATTTTAATTAATATGATTAATATTATTCAAAAATATGTATTTTCTATTAGAACCAACGAATTAATTGTATTTGGGTAATTCTGCCACTTTAGGTAATATGGCAAAAATTACCATGCTGGCGCCCGTGCCGGTCCTCGACTTTCGAGCGGCGAAACTGGAAAATAGAAATGTTAGTTCGTAGCGCATTAAACAAATGTTCTTAATTAAATATATAACATGAGATTTAAATACTTTTCATATAGGCGTTTAATATAAAATTTACCACTCTTGGGGCCATCGAGGCGGCGTAGCGGGGCTGCTGATCAACTAAAGAAATTAATTATTATCATTTAGGTTAATACAAAATGCCATTTGATAAACCATTATGGCTCTAATTTAGCTGTTATCTATGTTTTAAAACTAAATTAAATTAAATTATCTCAGTTTTATATTTTGATTTTTTTTATTCAGAGAAGTGGAAATGATTGCCGACGCAAGGGCGAATTAAATGAGACAATTCAAACGATATAGTTTTTGACTGAAGCATAATTTTTCAGGCTATTTGTCATGCAATGGATTTTATATACGAAATTATTATTTTTGTTGTAAATTCGAATGAAACTTTTTAGTGATTTTTCTATATAATTTCTTGCGCTTTCGAAGGAACTTTTGCAGGCCCGAGAAATAAACGTCGCATCGCCCCTCAAAATGCCGAAAAACAACTTTCAAAGGCCCGGAAAAGCAAGAGCTCGTTCCCATGGCAGGGACCCCCGCAAAAATTGCCAATTAGACGGCCGATTCCCGCACAAAATGTTTCCCCATAAAACCATGGTCAAAGAACAACTATTGCAAGTCATTGTGGCTTCACGGTGTTGAAATGTCCGTTTTTCTTATGAAACCTAAAGTTTAACGAAAACCTTAAAATTTTGTTTCCCAATTTTAAATGTTTAATGCTAATTAATGAAACTGGTCACAGTTTCTGCTAAAACAAAAAAAAACCTGGATTTTTGGTCTTAAAGCCCCCCAAAACGGGTCAATACTATCTTTTGAGCATTTGTCAGAAAAACAACGTTAAAGCGCACTAACTATCTTCAAAATCCGCTAAAATGTCTATTTGATCACGGAAAAATTATGTTTCCAAACCAAAATAAAAAACAAGTCACGGAAGGGCCGGATTTGCGGAGCTTGGGAGCGCTTCTCGAAAAGAACTAATCCTCCGTCTTATCAGTACCCCGCATGTGCCAAAAAAGCAAGTAAAAAAGGGAGGAAAAATACAGGGTGAAAGGGAAGTAAAAATGCATGACACTGCGTCCAAAAATTAGACAGTGTGGACAATTTTCTATGAAACACCTGATTTGTAAAGGATCTTGCTTAACGCGTATTCCTCTAAAAACTATTTTCTAGTAATAAACTTAATAAAATAAATCTAGAATTTAGTAAGTACCGAATTAATGTTTAAAATGGATTCAATAAAGTGATAAAAAACTACAATATTACAGGAGGCACGGGCATCTCCAAATACTGTAATTGCAATAGGAAATTGGAAGAAAAACTGAAACGGCAAACTGATCACAATTCATATTGAAAACAAAACGGCGTTCAGTATTTTCAAAGAAACATTTTATTTCCTTTTTTGAAATTCTTATGAAACAATAATTTTTTGGACGTCAGGAAAAACATGGCTTATCAATTATTGCCGTTTTTTTATTACTTAAAGCCATTTAAAAGATATCCCAGGTAAATGCCAGCTCGAGAACCATGTTTATTTGATTTAGTCCATAAAGCCAAAAAGGACGACTAATCTGCGAAAGTGCTCGAAGCGCAAACACCCCTGAGGATTTATCGCCGTTAAAAAATAGAATGTTTTATCGAACGGCCAATTTGATCTATTGGCCAGCAGCGGAAAAGTCCCCGTTCGATTCCGCCTCGCTAATGGTCTGCCCCTTTTCACGCCCAGCCACTTTTTCCCAGGCCGTTGAATCATCGATGTGCTGTACAGCATCGCCACCGTCGCCCATTTTTTGGCTCTCTGCCAATTTTTGAATCCGTAAAATCGGTATTACGGTGCCGAGGAACACTTCCACCATTTCGAATTTCTCAATTTTACGTGCTCTTACAAGTGATGTCGATGTAATCAAACGTTTCATCTAAAAGAACGATGTGTAAACAAATACTAACTGTAAAATAATTTTAGTGTGCAAGCAAAAAATAACCTTACTGCAGGCTACTAAACATTTCGATTAATTTTAATTTTTAATTTTTGTTGAAACACATTTTTCCTAGAATTTTCTAGCCGTCTGCTCGCTTGATGAGGCCTTTAATAGAAAACTTTAATATTTTAGATAGCTGTACATATATTTATTTTTATATAATTTCTAAATATTTGTAATTGATCTCGACCCTTAGTCCTGATTTCCTCTTTCACCTCGAAAATTTTGGTCCTGTGCTTAAATCCTCGACAGCAGCATTTTTTGAAGGCCTGAAAACCTGTGTAGAGTAATCTGTCAAAAACAACGCTTAAAATTTCGTTTAATGAAAGTTCGGCGTAAAAAATTGTGTTTCACAAATGCTGATCTTTCGTCTCATCCAATGTTACTAATTTCGAGCTCCTATTTTTACATTACTTGTATTTTTTCCAGAATTTATGGTATCTTCTTGTCTTTTTTCACATTCCATTTTACGAGTTTTAGTTGAATTTTCACGAGCCACCGAAAAAGTGGGGAAGGGGCGGGGTGTGAAATTCGAATTTCCGCTTCGGGGCGACCGACCGGAGAAAGGGGCTGGGAATGAGAAAAACCAGAATTCGGAGCTGAGAAGCAAAATAATTCCCCAAGTATCTCGAAATTTCAGATCTGAAATCCTTGAAACATATGGCTTCCAAATATTATTCACGGCATCTGGCTGACGGGTTTTTGGACGAGATCTACGGGAAAATCACGCGACGCTGGAAATGGCATGAATATGGGCTATGCGTGGGTTTTAGGGTACTTTCTCTCTCCCTCTCTCCACACTTTTTCTCTCCCCCTCTCTCTCTCTCTCACTTTCTCGCTCGCTCGCGCACTTTTTTGCCCGTACCACTATATATAAAAAATTGTTTAGAACCAATTTTAAGATGAAACACTAAAACAAAACTTCTTTCCAAAATTCACAAACAATCTTTCTCTCTCTCTCTCTCACGTGACTCACTCTCACTCTCTCGCTCTTTCTCTCTCTCTCACTCCCACTATCTCCCTCTCCTGCTCTCACTCTATCTATCTCTCTCTGTCTCTCTCTTTCTGTCTCTCTCTCTCTCCCTCCCTCTCGCTGTCGCTTTCCCTCTCTAACTCTAAATTTTCCCAATTCTAGCAATGCGAAGTGCCCGAAGCCTCATTGGAGCTCTTCCTCAAAAGAAGCCCCGCCCCCATCTGCCCTGTTTTTCTTCAAAGATCGTAGATTTCATTCAAATAATCAATTTTTAAATAGTTTTAGGCCCGATCTTCAGATCTCTGCAAATTGCCCAAATTCCCCTCACCACGATCCGTATGTTTTTCGGTAAGTCGGATACATTTTTTTAATCTCGAGAGTATACATTATACATTAGAGTAGAACAGAAATTTTGAAATTTGGAAATGTTTGAAACGTTTATTTTGTATTGCAAGAAATTTTTGAAGCAAATTTTCAACGCGATTTTTAGAAAACCCGAAACGCACGTCAGTTTTTACGAGGGAGACCGATATACAGGTTATTTTAAAGTTAAATCATGTTAGATAAAAAAGAAAATAATGTTTAATTTTGTCTATAATTTTTATAATTAGTATATTTTTATATTTTGCAGATTTAAATCTTAAACTAAAGCCTTTAAGAGACCAATTACGACCTGCCGACTTCCGCTGAATTTACGGTAGAAATTGGGTGGAAGAAAATTATCGAATATGTGGAAAAGGTAGAAAAAAACCTGTTATAATTATTTTGAAAATCAATAAAAAGAAAAAGAGTTATAAATATGTTAAATTTAATAAAAATAAAAATCAAAACCTTAAGAAATGGAAAATCCCGGAAGATTTGCTTTTTATGGTGTTGCCAGGCCCTTCTTGCGAATTTCCAGGTTATTATAGTTTAATTTAAATAAATTCGTTTTATTAAATTCTAGAATTTAAAACGTATTTTTCTACATCTTTAGGCCTCCTACGCCAAAAATACCTCTCGATTTGGACTAACAAAATCGAGCAAACGCACATCATTTTCAACATCGATGTGTCGACGCGGAATTTGGTATTTTTGAAACATAAGAATTCAATTTTTCTCTTCTAGGGACAAAATATTGAAATCAGCTACGCGACTCCGGGCGGCTGCCGTAATTACGGGTAATTTGCATAATTTCAGAATTTGGCCGCTTTTAATTGCTAACCAGGGTTGAAAAGCCGCTTCGCGCCTTTTCAACCCTGGCCCCCCGTCCAACCCTATGAATCCCTCGCTTTGCATAATCCTTCCGCGCTTTATGTAAAAAAAATGAAAATCGCGTCCTCTCCCCGATTATATAGGCTACTCCCACTTCCGGCGTATGCTAATTTTTTCCTAACAAAGAGGGTGTCCGATTTTTAAGGAAAAACTGAATTTTAATGTCGAAAACACTTGATTTTGCAAAATCTGATATGGGTGCAGTCATCTACAGGCCATTACGCGTCTAATGGCGTATCGTACGCCCCCTTCATCCCCGCCCCCCTTGAGTTATCCTCCGGACACGCTGACGGAAGTTGCATGCAAAGTGTCATACACACACACACAGACACTATTTTTTTATATACCAGGGTTGAAAAGCCGCTTCGCGACTTTTCAACCCTGGCCCCGTCTGATCCCATAAAATTCTTCACTTTACACCATTTTCCCGAATCAGATGGCAAAAAAATGAGAAACACTACCTCTCTTCCCTTATATAGGCTACCGTGGCTTCCGGTCTATGCTAATTTTTTCCTAACAAAGAGGATGTCCGAAATTTTTACAAAAACTTAAATTTAATGTTGGAAATAGCTGATTTTGTACAATCTTATAAGTTTGCAGTCATCTCCAGACCATTACGCACCTAATGACGTATCATACATACCCCTAACTACTCCCCTTATTGAGATACTACTGGAACACGCTGACGGAAGTTGCATGCAAAGTGGCACACACACACACAAACACTATTTTTTTATATATAGTAGGATAGTAGGATTATCTATTAAATGTATTCAAATGGAAAAATTGTAAAATCAATTTTCCACTTTTGATTTCCCAAAAATGGTTGCGTTTTTCCACTTCTAAGCAAAGCATCAAATTCATATTTGAAAGGCTCGGATCACGAATAATTTTTACAAACAAAACTAAAATTTGGGTCTAAGGAATGCATTAAAAAGTTATTTTTTTAGAGTCAGGCTTCTTTCCCTGTTTTGTAGTTGCATAATGTATTTTTAAATACAGTACCAGGGTTGAAAAGCCGCTTCGCGACTTTTCAACCCTGGCCCCGTCTGCCCCCATGATATTCTTGGCTTTACATAATTTTCGCGGATTCGGATGACGAAAAATGAAAAGTTCTCTCTCCGTCCCTTTATATAGGCTACCGCGACTTCCGGTGCATGCTAATTTTATCCTAACAAAGTGGGGTGTCCGATTTTCCATGAAAAACTTAATTTTAATGTCGAAAACAGCATATTTTGTAAAATCTAATATGTGTGCAGTCATCTCCAGCCCATTACGTACCTAACGACGTATCGAACATACCCCTAAGTACTTCCCTTCTTGAGATACTACTGGAACACGGTGACGGAAGTTGCATGCAAATGCACACACACACACACACAAACACTATTTTTTTATATATAGTAGGATTATTAATGTTTGTTATGTTTATTTTATACGGTGATTTGCTGAAATCGTCATTATGCAAATTCTATGTTTCAGACTTGAACAAATCGTGGAAGCCGAAGAGTTGTTGCAAGAGCTGGCGGAATAGCGATTTATGCACGTTCATCAAAAATATACAATGTATATAAATTACCATATGTCTGTATATAAGTAAACTACGAATATCACTAATTACGACAATTACAGTACTCAAAAAAGGGGGTGGGGCGGCTGAAAAACCTGAGCTCAAACTGAACGGCTAACTTAGTGTTTCAGGTAAATAACAATAATAAGCGTGAATGAAATCTAATAATAATTTTTCAAAAGATTCAGGAATCTTTCCATCACAATTGGTATCACATCAAAATCACAATATCGAGAAACACAGCAATGCAAAAAAATGGATTCTGTTTCAATAAATTATACTTTCTGGGCTCTGTTGCATTATCGGGGGGTACTTGCGAAATATCGCTCAAAAAATATTAAAATGCTATGTTTCGACCAAAATTTAGAATTTTAAAATTTTTTGCAGGATTTTGAAGAGTCTTCAGCCGAAATATAGCTCAATTTTCGTAAAAGCCCTATTAAAATAATTGCTATTAAAAGAATAGGCATGTTCCGCTTATATCAAAATTCCCCCCCCCCCCGATAATGCAAAAGCACCAGAATAATAGGGGTCAAATAATGGTTAGCATTGGGTGCGAAAAATGGGCGACTAAATATGTGCTTTTTCCAAAGGAGCAAGCGAAATTATGCAAGATATTTTTTCTAAAAACCACTTAATTCTCTTAAGATCATCTCATCTACATTTTATAATTGTGTGTCGTTGGATTTTGTCGTCTATTCGGTGCTGCTGTCTCTTTTCAGCATCTGCTGCTCCAGGCGGGCCTTTTCGAAGCGGGCCCTGAAAAAAACCCCATCACCTAACTGCCTTTCCTCAACAATCTCTGCTAGCCTGCCCTCTCCTCTTCCTCAACAATCTCTGCTAGCCTGCCCTCTCCTCTTCTTCAACAAACTCTGCTAGCCTGCCCTCTCCTCTTCCTCAACAATCTCTGCTAGCCTGCCCTCTCCTCTTCCTCAACAATCTCTGCTAGCCTGCCCTCTCCTCTTCTTCAACAAACTCTGCTAGCCTGCCCTCTCCTCTTCCTCAACAATCTCTGCTAGCCTGCCCTCTCCTCTTCCTCAACAATCTCTGCTAGCCTGCCCTCTCCTCTTCCTCAACAAACTCTGCTAGCCTGCCCTCTCCTCTTCCTCAACAATCTCGGCTAGCCTGCCCTCTCCTCTTCCTCAACAATCTCTGCTAGCCTGCCCTCTCCTCTTCCTCAACAAACTCTGCTAGCCTGCCCTCTCCTCTTCCTCAACAATGTCTGCTAGCCTGCCCTCCTCTTCCTCAGCAATTCTTCCTGGCCATTACATACCTTAAATCCTGGACAGTCTGCTGTTTCTCGGCTACCTTCTTCTCGGCCGCCAAACTTTTGAGCTTCTGAAAAATGAAATACAGTGAATGAATAAAGCTAATTAACTTTGATTAAATCGCAAAAAATTGTTTAAATTTACACCCTAAATTTAAAAATTTTGAGCAGAAGTATGTTTCGTGAAATTGTACCATCCGTTAAATTTTTTTAGCATTAATCCAGTGTTGTTCTTCGGATAAGCTACTATCGGCTACCATTGGAGGTACTGTATCAATTATATTCTTACTATTAGATAGAGATCTAACGTTAGTTAAAAGTTAGATAAATACATAGAATTTTCTGGAAAAGACAGCGGCTTGTTGAATGCGTTACAAAATGAATTTAACATGGAAAGGTAATTTTCTACATTGCGAAAAAAATCAAAAAATTATTTTTCTTTTCAATTCTGATAAATAAATCAATTCTTTATAAATTAAAATTTTTCAACAAACAGGTTTCGTAAAATGATGTCAATTTTTTTATTTTTAGATTGAATGAAGACCAGGCGTGATCCAAAAACCTTATAAGAAGTAGAACGCTTCTTGCCGAACGGCCTCGGCTCGGCGGCGCGCGTCATTTGAAGCGCCTCGTCGCTGCTGCAAAACAAAAGCGAAATTAAATTAATAAAATTTTCAAAATACCTAGCCTTCGTCATACCCTCGCCGAACGACTCGAGGGCGGCGTGGGGCGTCTTTTTCGAGGTGGACTGAAATAAAATAATGAAAATGGATGGCTGTCTCACACGCAGTCCCGCTCCCTCGCTCTCTCTCTCTCGCTGTCTCTCTCTCGCTTGCTCTCTCTCTCTCTACTTTGATCATATTGGTTAAACAAAAAGTTTGTTTCAAACCAATTTTAATCTGAAACATCTAGAAAACTTCTGTCCAAAACTTACAGCCGCCGCCGGGTCGTCCTCCTCGCTGGTGATGGTCACCTTCCGGCCGAGTAGATGCTCAACCCGGGACAGCACACCGGTCTGGAGACCAACATCCCGCCGCTGTCCCTTCCTCACCGCCTCCAGCTCGTCCATGTAGATCTAAAAAGCTAGAATTTTTGGTATAGAATTACTTCACAACAATAAACGGCGTGAATAACAACAATCTTTGACGAGCCGTACGTGAAAATATTTTTTTTAGGTTTTTCAGATTTGTGTCGATTTATTGTGCGTGGTACTACGTTCTGCGCATACAGTGCCGATCATGCGGTAATTTAAATGATTCACGAAAAAATTGCGAAAAACGAGCAAGTACCGTGCATACAGCTTGAATTTAACTGGGATTAAGATGAAACATTTTTATTTCGCGAAAACGTTTCTTTGGAATTTAAATCCCTCCCTTTGACTATTTGGCTAACAATTAGCCCAGTATTCAAAACAATATGCAAAAATTTTTTTATTTACGACGATTGATGGTAATTTTCACCCGACGAAAATTTCGTGTTTCAGCAATGCTAATAGATGCCAATACTCTTCTCTTGATAATTGGAGCACAATTCCGGATATCCGCAGATCCAAAATCTCCGTTTATATTTTCCACAGTTATTCCGTTTCTCAACTGAAATTGTTTTTATTATTTTTTAGCTTTACCGCTAAATTTTGCGGTAATTCAGGCAAAATTGTTCGGCAATGATACTTTTCAAAACGCTCTATTTTGCTGAATTTAAATGTTTCTGAAAACCCACTAGAAGCCGGTGCTCGAGATCTTGGAATTCATTGCACCGCTGCAAAATGTACCAAAAAATCTTTGTTTTATTTTGTACTTTTTTAAAAGTCTGCCGGTGTTATGAAAACTATTGTTTCATAAAACTCACGCATTCTGGTGTTGTGATTAATGGGCAAAAATAGGTGAGTGGTTTGTGGAGGTGGAGGTGTTGTTAAGGTGGCGTAATCGATTAGTGCTTACCGATGTCGTGCTTTTTCTAAAAAAAGTATTCGTACAAACAGTAAAATGCAATTGTGAATATCGTCAGAAGTAAGGTGTGTGCCAAGTGATAGTGCTATGATGATATCGAGAGAAAGAGAGAGAGAGAGAGCGAGAGAGAGAGAGAGAGAGAGAGAGAGAGAGAGAGAGTGAGTGAGAGAGCGAGATAGAGCGAGAGAGAGAGAAAGAGAAAGAGTGAGAGAGTGAGAGAAAGAGTGAGGTTGAATCTGATCTAGAGGGAGAACGAGCGAGGGAGAGAGTGCGAGAGCGTGGGATCGAGTGAGTGTGAGAGCGAGAGAGAGTGAGCATGAGAGATTGAATGAAAGCGAGAGAGAGCGAGAAGGTAAGTGAGAGCGAGAGAGAGAGAGAGTGGGCGTGAGAATGAGAATGAGGTGAGAGTGAGAGTGCGATGGGGTAGCAGCAGAGAAAGAGTGAAGCTAAAAGGGAGAGTGAGTGAGAGAGAGAGAGAGAGAGTTCGAGAGATCGAGAGTGATAGTGCAAGCAAGCAAGAGCGAGAGAGACAGCGAGCGAGAGAGAGCGAGAGAGCTAAAAGTGAGAGAGATAGAGAGAGAGAGAGAGAGAGAGAGAGAGAGAGATCATATCCCCTGTCATCGTATTCACCCCATTAAAGTCCCCACCAACCCACCTTAATCCATTGCTGGTTTTCAGTCCCGATGCCCTGATCAATTTTCGGCGGTTCTTCCGTCTGCGCCGAAACATCTTCAATTTTCGGCTTCTTCTTCCTCCTAACCAACTTCTTCGGCTTTTCCTTATTCTCAGATATTTCGCCCGTTTCTTGTAGAGGTACAGTAACCATCTGCTGCTGCTCCGTACTCTGTAGCTGCCCGGAATTCTTGGCAGCCACCACATCAAAATCAGACCACAGCTGCGGGCCGAGCGGTGTCTCCTGCCACACCTCGACATGTTCATCTACAGTCTCGTGCTCAGAATTGTCCTCCTCGCCGACGGCGACCACGTCAAAGTCAGACCACAATTGAACGGTGTTCAATTCTAGTTGCTCGTCGGTTTGGGTTTCGGAAGTCTCCGGGAGGTGATCGGGTCCCACCACGGTCTCCTGACGATGCAATTCCACCTGCAAATAGTTGGGGGAATTTGGGGGGAATTTGGATAAAGTTGTTATTTTATTTAAAACTGGGGTTTGAAATTATTAAATTTAAAAACTATAACGAATTAAAACCAGGGTTTTAAGGTTTGAATTTGGGATCTGGAGCGTCGAGAATTAGAATCGAAATTGAAATTAAAGGGATTGGCGACTTTGGCGGTACTGAACTGTTAGCGGGGGGTAATTTTCGTTTTCTTCCGTCTATACCTACCTGTTAATAATAAATATCGTATTTTTATAATGCGTTAAGTAACTTTTGGCTTACCAGAAAGTTACAAAATTTTTTAAAGTCTTTATAAAACTCTTTCGTCCCAGAAAATTAAAATAAGGTAAAAACTATTCTATTAACCAGTATTTAAAACACACTTTCTAGGTTCAAAAAAATTCCTTTATATTTCGTTAGAGGGCCGTACGGAATTATTGCGAAAAATTGGCGTCCCTCTGCCAGACCCCCGCTAACAGCCGAGTACCAGCCCAATTTCGATAGGTTTTCGATCTCGATTAAAAATAAATTTGAAGGTATTAAATTTAATTTTTACTGGGGTTTTAGTGGAATTTGAGGGAAATTTGGGATAAAATAATTGAGTTTATCGAATAACCGTTGTGAAGATTGACCGAATCAAGGAGCTCAACCCGCCCTAATTCCCTGAAACACTTATTTCGTGAAACTCGATTTTAATTTTTTTAAAGCAAAGAGAAAGCAAAGAGAAACGTTTGTTTCATTTTATTTTAATTCCGCACCTGCGTTTGTCGATCCGTTCTCGTCGCAGCAGCCTGGACCCCGTTGTCCGCCAATAGCGGGGTTACGGTAGCCATCGCCGTGGTGGAGAGCGTCGGGACGCAGGAGACCTAAACACGAAATTATATAAATATGTTTTATAGCTTATTTAATATTTCTTATTATTATGATCTTCAATCTTGTTCTTCTCCTTTTTCATCTTCCTCTTTTACTTTTTATTTCTTTAATTTTTATTTAATTGATTAAAATACCGTAATCATTGATTTAATCCATTTTTATAATAATTACCAGCCGATTACAGCCGCTTCGCGACTGTAATCGGCTGGCCTTCGGGCTACCCTCCATGTACTACACCACCACATTACACCTCTACCTTCATCAATACCCACGCTGACCACTTCAGATACCCCCTCCCCCCCATAGATTCAAACACCTTAAAAACTACTTCGATACCTTCCGGAGGGCTTCAGATACCCCCCATAGCCGACATCCCCTTCAAAAACTACCTAACTACCTTCCTGATGGCTTCAGATACCTCCCCTAGCCGAAATCCCCTTCAAAAACTACCTAAATACCTGCCCGATGGCTTTAAATGATTTAAATAATAAATTAACATAATTAAAAAATATTAAAAGTATTAAAGTAACTTAAGAAAGCTATCTTGGCGCGCGAAGGGGCCTGGGAAAGAGGGGCGAAGAGAAAAGGGGCGTGGCCTCCCGGGACAGGGGCCCCCACTCGTTTTATTAAGGCGCCACTTTCAAAGTTAATTTTAATAATTTAAACAAAAACTTTTTCAGAATTTTTTTATCAGTTTGGGGATTTCTTACAGCGCTCTATCCGAATCCGAAGAGAGCTAAGCTCTAGCTCCTTTCCCCTTCGAGTTGAATTCGGCTTCAGACACACGGACGGACGGACGTCTCTACTTTTTTATTATACAGGGTGAGGCATATATATCGCTACACCTCTAGCACGCACAAATTTGTCTACCAGCGGAAAACTTATTATATTTGCGGGGTAATCGATGTTTCCCATCAAAGAACTAGTGTCTCTTTATGCAGGAAATAAATGTAAATGGTCGAAAATTGTTTCGATTTGGGTTTAGCTTACAAGGAAGTTCAGCACTTTTCTCGAAAAAGTGGTGTGTTGGCACGCTGCTCCTAGAGCCCCGTATATTGGTAATTCTGCTGCAGTTTTTTTGTATTCTGGTTCAATCGGATCTTATTTATGGTTTCCAAAAAGTTTTTAGTCGGAAACTAGCGAGGGAATTTTACTACATTCAAAAAAGGAGTGATTACCCACCCCTCCCCGCCCTTTGGTTGACCACTAAAAAATTCATCAGAAAATCGAAGCCACCTTAATATTTGGATTCGAGCTGTTTTTTGCATTTTAGGCATCCGATACGAGCAATTCCCAATGATAAAACCAAGAAATTGAACGAGTACAGGTCAAAAAATGTATTTTGAGGTTTTTTACTATGGTTTTTGTAACCAGCTGAGACAAACTTTTAACTTTCTGCCGAATGCAAAGAAATAAGTTGGTCTCATTGTCTTTTTAGTTAAATTCTAAGTAGTACAAATGTTTTTAGGGGTCATTCGGGTCCAAATCAATGTTTCCGAACCATATCGAAATCGGCCGCCAAGGGGTTCCGTGCCAGACCCACCTAACGACGCCCAGTTTTTGCTTCAGAACAAGTGTGTATAGGGTTGTTGCGTTATAAAATTTTAAGAGTGTCGAAAGGACCCATGTGGCTATATCACAGCAAAATATTGAGGCCCGGCTCGCTTTAATAATTTTTTGGGGGCCCGAGAGGGTGTAGCGATATATATGCCTCACCCTGTAGTTGATATTTTTCAATACTTATCCCGAGACCTACCCTAAAGTATCGTGATACCTTCGTCGAGATTTGCTATTACCATACCATTCTTTTTTGCGATACCGTATATCGATAAAACATTTTTTATAAAAAATTGGAATTTGAGAAAATCCGGAATTTTCTAATTTGCGGCTCTGCTTTCTACAGTATTGCTGCAAAAATTATTTTTAAACGGAAAAGGCGCTTTATTTATCAGATCCAATAGTTTACCGGTCTCTACGTACGCCCCAATTACCGTACCTCAACACTCTCCACCTCTGGCCGGCATGTTGTCGCCGTTTCCTTTAGCTCAACGCTGCACTCGGTAGATACAGTAGTCTGCTGAGGGGTGATCTGAAAAAAAATCATAAATTACTCACGTTAAAAATGAGTGTTTCACTTAGATTCTCTAAATGTAAATTAGTGAGCTTCTTAATAAATGGATGTTTTATCAATCAATTTTAAAAGTTGGGGACGCGTTCGTTTAGTCACCATCGTTCGTCTACGCCTTATAATTATCCATTTTTAGCACCGAAAGGAAAAATCAAGGATTCAAAATTTTGAAAAACTATGTTCGAAGAAACGACGCAATGATAAGAAAAAATTTAGCAAGATTAACACCCTTTGCTGCGTTGCTCAAATTTATCGTTGTTTTTAAAAAAATGCGATAGAGAAGGTAATGCACTCAAGCTTAGGTTTGGCTTAGGTTAGGCTTAGGCTTAGGCTTAGGCTTAGGCTTAGGCTTAGGCTTAGGCTTAGGCTTAGGCTTAGGCTTAGGCTTGGCTAAGCTTAGGCTTAGGCGGAGGCTTAGGCTTAGGCTTGGCAAGCTTAGCCTAGGCTTAGACTTAGGCTTGGCTTAGGCTTAGGCTAAGGCTTAGGCTTGGCTTAGGCTTAGGCTAAGGCTTAGGCTTGGCTTAGGCTTAGGCTAAGGCTTAGGCTTAGGCTTAGGCTTGGCTTAGGCTTAGGCTAAGGCTTAGGCTTGGCTTAGGCTTAAACTTCGTAACTTATTAATGATCCAATCATAATA